TGGACTCTGAAAATCTTACCAATCAGTGTCGTCGGAATTTAAAAAAATCAGAACACAAAAAATCATAAACACACAGCCAACTATTCTCGACGTTGAATGTTTATCACTGACTTCAACTCCAAAGTAAGACAATTTTATTAGGTTCTAAATTATATCAATTACAGTCAAGCATGCATATCATGCATATCTTGGTTTTGAACTTAAATACAAACCCGTGTCCGCACGTTTGAAGGTTTGAACTTCGAAATATATAAAGATAGGTTTGTTATGTTCCAAATCATAAAAATCAAATTTGCAAGCATGCACATGTCACTGGGATTGATACAGGAGAAGAATGGTATAAAATAAACGAGCATTTATGAATCTATCAGTCTGATCAAAATTGCTTTCAGGCTAAATTTTCTCAAAGTAGGTTCACGGACCTAGGGTTCCAAAACGCCGTTCTCATATAATAGCTTGACACATTGATGTTGATGTTCATTGATGTTCAATATACTAGTTTCTTCATGCTAAACTTTGGTAACGGGCATATCACTTATTTCCAAAGCTACGTCTCTTGCATTTGGACTTCGAGAAGTACTGGGTCGACTACTGTCACTCTTATGCGATGCCCCATCATCGTCAAGATAGGAATCCATCTTTGAATCCTGATGAAGTACGAATTTGTTAATAATCCAAATATTCATTACCCTTTTCCTTATGGACGCCGTTCGATATTTAGCCAGCAAATGCCCTTGCGTGTCTTCAACGCTTATTTGAGTATTCTCCCGTATACAACAATTAATTATGGATTCCAAAGCATCCTCATTTATACTATTATAAATAACAATGATGGACATGGGCGAAAACCAAGAGGTCAATATGGGAAAAACAAAATGGCAAAAAAAGTGTTTGGTACCTGGGAAAGATAAAAGTCACCTTCGCTCCATATCTTGTCATCAGCGGCATGTTGGCTTCTAAAATATCAACATCAAAGATATATCATCGCGCGTTCTATTTCACATTTCATGACTTTTTCCGGTTACAGTATTCGTTGTTGTAACCATACTTTTGTGAAATACAATCATCATGTATCCACTGGTAAAAGGACGATTTTACACCTTTTATTACAATGTCAGGCCGTTGAAATAACATAATATATAAGCAATACTTACAGTCTTTTTTTGTTTAGTAGGTATGATGTATATGTGTTAGAACCATTACGACCAGTACGTGTACTGCCAACAGGACTTCCTCTTTCTGACTGTATTCTATACACACAAAACAATTGCATAAGACAACAGCTTTGCTGCATTAAGATAGATATTTCTTACCTCAGTGCAGTAACATCTTTATCTCCATTATTGGTCACGACGTTATCATAGTAGGACCAGGATCCTGCTCGGTTGCTGAGAGAAAGAGATTTAAAATGCATTGTGACTAGCAGTTCTAATCTGTAAATACAAGTTCTATAAGTGATATTTAACAAACGAGTAGGAGTGTTTTATCGTGAGATATAAACACGAGGCCGAAGGCCGAGTGTTCAGTATATCCACGATAAAACACAAACTACGAGTTTTTTAAATGACTTCTAAAATCCAAACCTAAGAAACTACAATATTTTAGTTCATGAAATAAATAAACAAATATCAAAAATGAATAATTGATGAGGATACAAGATGAGTTATAGGTCCTGTCATGTGATCCTTAGTTGAATGCTCATTGGAAGAATGTTTAATGAATAATTCATGAGTTTTAGAAATTTGAGTTACACAGTGCGTGCAGTTTTTTTCTTCTTTTATCATGCATTCACTGTCGCTCACATTCGTTGGCTATTTGCAAACCGCCTTGCAGGTTCTGGTGATCTGTACATTTCTCGTCTCTCTGAGCTGAAATTATAAAAATCATATGTTTAGGCATGAAAAAAGTTCACAAACATAAAATACTTCTTACCTTATGCAGAATCTGATGACGCAGCATAAAATGATGATAAGCAAAAGAGCGACAATACCACCTAAGATGATCAAGGCAAGTTCAGCATCTGTCAGTTTTCCTTGATTTGGATCAACAGTTGGTTTCGGTGTAACAGCTTTAATTTTCCATTTGGCGTACATTGTGTTAAGCTCATGACTATATTTATCGATTGTCCTGAAATCATAAATCGTCAAAAATAGTCAACCTTTATCCATCTTAATGACTGTAAAAACGTGTTGATAAATAAGGATGAACGCAATGGTACTAATGTCATGAAAGGTTGTAGAGGCAATCCGTTTACACCAAACAAAAGCCTGTCAACGATGTCATCATTGCAGATAGGACCCAGAGGATTTCAGTATGTTAATTATATTTGCCTATACATGAGCATTATTTCACTTGGAGAGGGGCCATGATTTATTGAAACTGAAAGTCATTATACAATATTATACAAATTTAAAAGAGCCCTCTCATGATCCCTTTTCCGTCTTAGCTTTGATGATGTAATTTTGTTATACCTGAGTACTTCGTCGTTAGTCAAGATGACTTGCGTGGATTCTTTGATGGCATGAAATACGACCTCAGACTCTACCACTTTTTCTCCTTTAACATCAAAAGACTCAACTTTGAAGATCTGCTCAACATACACTTCTGCCTCTGTAATGTTACTTAAAACGCTAGAAAAAGATATCGATTATGGTTACTGACCAGCTCAGTGATACAGTTGATAAAGTAATAATAATACTTTGACTATATTACCTAASAAATTCATTCTTATTCTGTTCGATTAGTTTTGGTTCGACTGCTGCCTTTAGAGTTACTCTTTGTTCTTCAAGTAGGACAAATATCTAGAAAGGTATACAACATTATATGAATTCTAGATAAGTATTGTGGGAAGTTCAAGAAACACGTATAATTATGCTTAAATTTCATTGGATTTTGCTCTCAAACGTTTTACGAATATCATCCAAGGTTGTATCTATAATGTTCCTGCAATTCCTTGAGAACGATTATTTGTGATAAACTCATATGACTAATAGAGATGGTTGCAGATAAAACCACACCCAAAGACGTTGATGAATTGCTGGTAATTAACAAATGACCGATTCTCATATTGCGCATGCTTCCATTTGTAAACAAAACCAATATCATTATCGCAGATGCTTACCCTAAGCAGTGTAGGCTCCTGTGCTTCGTTAAACGGTTTTCTAGCATTGTTGTCAAAAGCAGTGACTTTTAAGGTAAACCTTTGACCTTTTTTGTCCTGAAATAGACTTGCTGAATAAACTTTTCCAGTCCTGGTATCCAAGCTGAAGAAACCACCTTCATTTCCGGACATTATGCGATATGATATCGCACTGAAGTTACCGGCATCGGGATCCGCCGCCTAAAGTATTCAAGATGGTAAATTAAAGTAAAATCAGCAGACGTTTTGATTAAAGCAAATCTTGAACYTACAGATATAGTTTTGATATAAGTATTCAGTTCTGCTCCTTCTGGTATACCTTGCAAGGGAAAATGAAAGATGTTATCGTAAATATACTAAAACCAACTATGAAAGCCCGTGGTTTTTGTGATATACAGTCAATCCTACTATAATGAAAGCCTCATGATACAGATTATTCCACCCTTGCTATGAAATACAAATGACAAATGAAATAATCAGATGTACATACCTCCAACAAACAACGTTCTAACAAATATTGGAGCATTATCATTGATGTCATCTACGTTGATATTTACTTGGGTAGTGTCATAATGACGACCAGTGTCTAAAAGAGACATCGATTTTAGAAATGCACGGAAGTGGCAACATAAAATTTTCCTTACCATCAACAGCTCTTTTGTTAAGTCTCTTTGTTTCATTAAATGCCATTGTCTCGTCGTTGTATGCGCCTGCGATGAGACTGAATGCGGATGTTGTCTCGCGGTCGATAATTGATGAAATACTTACGACACCAGAGGTTTTGTTAATTACAAAGTGACCTAGAATTCAAGAAAACATGGTGTTGATATATAATCATAGATGAGAGTAGTACTGCACATCACCACAGTCACTTACCCTGCTCGTTTCCACTAATTAATTTATAAGTCACTTTTCCATTTAAACCCTTATCTTTGTCGGTGGCAGAAATTTCCACTACTTTAGTACCAACTGCAGCATTTTCTGTAGTAATTGCTCTAAAGAAAATTAACAATAAATGACATGACTTTTTGAACACTTCGGACGCAAGATGTTAATTATGATACCTGTAGACTTTCGTTAGGAACTGCGGTGAATTGTCGTTGACGTCAAGGACTGTGACGTAAACAGGAGCAAGAGACGTTAACGGTTTTGGAGTTCCCATATCCTTGGCTTCTATCATCACAGTAAATGATCTATACTCTTCCCTATCAATACGCATTTGTAGCATCATCACGCCTGTTTCTGAATTCATACTGAATACGTCAGCTTGTCGACTGCTGAGGTCATAACGTATGCGATAGAGCACACGGCCATTCGTTCCCTAAAATCATTATTATACCAAAGGATCGTCATATAGTCATGTTAATATATAGTAGTTTCCTGAAATAATTTTTTATCAATTAATTTCATAATAATGCATCCTTACCTCGTCTTTGTCGACCGCTGACACGGTCACAACCTTTGTTCCCGTAGGAGAGGATTCGGATAAGGAAGTATTATACGAGCTAGACATGAATTCTGGGACCTTGTCATTTAGGTCCAGCACTCTGACTTGAACGACGGTCCTACTTGACAGTTGAGGACTAGTGTCTTTGTTGGTTCCAGTAATGAAAAGATCATATTTCGGAAACATCTCTCGGTCCTTTGAAATGAAGCATATCACATGAGAATAACGGTAAAAGCCATGTATTGCAAGGTTCAATTTGTATTACCAGTGATTTTGCCGTTGTTATTTTCCCAGTTTTGGGGTCGATTCTTAAATCTCCATTTTTGTCTCCACCTGCCAAAAAGAATAGTAACTACAAGTTGCTTATTCAAATTAAGACTTGAGGTTACGGGAAGAGAACAACATGGTTAATGACTTGTTTCTAGTTGTAATTTAAATGTTGATTTTCTTTAGGTCACTAAGGTATCCTGGGGTATGACAAGTATTACATGTCTATCATCAACCACACCTGTTATACTGTAAGTAATTGCTCGGTTTGTTCCGATGTCAATATCAGATGCCGATACTTGACCAACAAGTTCGCCTGCTGGCTGATTCTCTTTGACTTCAAACGGACCAAATTTCTGCATAAAACATATTGTTAACCCAAACAAACCGAATTTGAGACCTTTTGGAAAGTCTGGTGGAAATATACGTACCTTTAAGAATATAGGAGTGATGTCGTTAACATCAACTACATGCACATCGATTGTACCAAAGTCCATATATGGAACTGTACCTTGGTCACGTGCCATGACTATAAGCTTGAGTAAGGTATTTTATTAAAATTATTACCTTCATAATAAAGATTTAGCTGATTTAATCATCTGAACTTACAGTGTACAAGTCTTTGGTCTCTCTGTCTAGCATAGATTTGGTGATTATCCGCCCAGTTTTCTTATCAATGTCGAACATATTATCTGAGCCATGCATTATAGCATACTGAACTACTCCATTATCATGAATGTCGTCATCAGTTGCATTGACGTCTATCACAAACGCACCAGGTTTTAAATTCTGTAATATAAGAAGACAAATGTATAATGACAAAATCATAGACAACTCCACTCGATCCCTTACCTCTTCGATGAAAGCCGTCATTTTTCTGGGATGAATGACAGGTACATTATCGTTGACATCTGTCAACACTAACACTATCTCAGCCTGGTCACTAAGCTGCGGTTTCCCTTGATCCTTTGCAGCGATGGTGAGTTTGATGGTCGCATTCTCTTCACGATTTAATGGTTTAGCCAATCGTAGCACTCCTTCATCATTGTCCAGGGTAAAAAGACCGAGGTCATTTCCACTAATGATTTGGTAACGTATCTGACTATTAACTCCAATATCTGCATCAGTAGCTTCTACTGTTATGATTATTGTACCAATGGCAATGCCCTCGGACAATGTTCGCTTATATATAGGAGAAGTAAATTTTGGCGAGTTGTCGTTTTTATCAAGGACATTGACAGTGAGCTTTGTAGATGACGATAGAGTAGGAACTCCATGATCTGAGGCAGTTATAATCAGTACGTATTCACTTTTGGTCTCGCGATCGAGGACTTTCTTCAATAGTACTTGACCGTTGTTTGGTAAAATATCAAAGAAATCAGGATAACCTGTTAAAGTGTAGTTTAACTGAAAGAGTCATAGCATAAAACAATTAGTGTGGACTGGATCAGTACAATATTTCTATAAAGATATGAAAAAGCTAAATAGATAGCACAAAAATTTATAAGTTCATTGATTTTCACAGCCAGTACAATATATTTTTACTCCAACTGGTAAAGATGACTTCTTCAGATTACCATACCTGAGAATTTACTCCCGAGTCGATGTCTGTTGCAGTTATTGTTGTAACAGTAGTGCCAGCTGATGCATCCTCGCTAACACTTGTTACATAAGATGACTGATTGAATGCTGGCTTATTGTCATTGAAGTCGGTGACAAAGATCTTAAGACGACAAAATGATGTAAGCCGTGGAACTCCACCATCTGTAGCTGACACATTCAATACGTAGTATTTACTGGCCATTGATTCGTAGTCAAGGTGACCGGAAGGACGCACTATCCCGGATGTACCTATGACAATGACAAATCTTAATAACAGCCCTTATTCAACAACCGCTCAACTTGAGCGATAAACCATCGTACCTTCAATGATAAACCGTCCATTACCACCAGCTACTATAGCATAGGTCAGTCGGGCGTTACTTCCTTCATCAGCATCTGATGCCGTTATTCTGATCACCTACCAAAAAAAAAACAGTATGTTAGCAGATTGTACATGAACTGATCGGTAAGAATCCGTTTGTTAAGTTTGCATATATAACGAATAGGCACATCATTACAACAGTTTTACATACAGTACGTGTCACGTAGCCTATAGCCAGGACCCACACCTCAATCCCCGACACGGTAAGCCATCCCCGAAGAACGTATTACATACAAAACCACAAATTTTACTATGTCTACTAATTTCCAATAAATAAATTCAAATTGCATGTCAGTACCTGGTAGCCACCATAAGCGTTTTCTTTCACATAAGCCTCGTATATAGCTTTAGAGAACTTTGGATGGTTATCATTATTGTCTATCAAGGATAGTTCTACTGTTGTTGTGCTGTTCAGACTAGGATTTCCTTTGTCTTTAGCCTATGAGATGCACATGCAGATATTTTCTGTTTTATTACTTCTAATTATCGAAATTATTTCTAACGGTTTTTTTGTACAAACCTCGACAACAACTCTATAAAATCTTTGTTGCTCACGATCAAGTTTTGCTGAAGTACTAATAGTTCCATTTTGACGATCGATGATGAAAGGCAGGATTACTATAATAAAAGAGACACTAGACTTACATGGTAGTTCTTTTTAGAGGTATAGTCATTCATTCTGAGAAACTAATGCACCTTCATCTTTCCCTGTAGATTCGCAACCGTAAAGTTCAATCCTTAGACATATACGACCAACCCAAGATTTAGGATGAATACGAACAAAACGAGCATGGAATGCTGGAAGAACCACGTTAGTCTGAATGCCATTTGMATTGGTATTACCAGGAAGTACCTAAAGGCAAGAAGACAGGTTCAAATACAGTCTTATTCAGGATTGTTGGGCCGGGTTTCATGAGGGAGTTTTCCGACTTCTTTCATTTAATTGGGAAAATGAGACAATCAGTAAAACCCTTTCATTGCTTCATTTTCTCACCGTTTTTCCATTAAGAGTAAATGTTGAGCCGTCAATGCTGTAAGACAGCGTGTAACTTCGAACATAATCACTTGAATCAGGTCTTCCTTGTGATGCAATTTTTGTAACTTTACGTATACCACTGAAGTCTACTTGGAGGTACTGCTCCTGGTTATTTTCACTGGCGCACCAAGCTCCTTTATACGTGACACCAGATTGTTTGACTGGTGCATTGTTAAGTCTTCCTTGCGTTGGTGAGTAATCTTCATTGCGGACAATATAGATGGATGATGCAGACATACCACTAGCTTGAACGTCACCATTACCTAGGCCCAGGGGTGTTACACAATCTTTGTTGAGAGCAACCATTTTTAATCCGGGTCCTAAATAGACAAAAATTCCCCAGAATATCAGTGCACACAATCGTAAAAATTATTGAACCCTAAAGTACAATGCATTATCAACACGCACACTAGTAACGCATAATACAGTACCTATATTTGCATGCGTTATAGAGTATACAAATACAGCATTTGATCCTTTATCGCTATCTACTGCCTTAACTAAACCAACGGTTGTGCCAATATGTGCACTTTCTAGCACGTCCATTTTGTATGGAGGGGGAAACTGGAACCTAGGTGCATGATCATTGTCATCTGTAACGTGGACTGCAACCTGTTTAAAAACAAGTATTATTTTGAGTATCATAATGATAATAATCAGTTATTGTAGTACATACCGAGGTAAAGCCAGACAATCGTGTCTGTCCATTATCCGTAGCACTTGCAGTTATCAAATAGTTATCAAGAGCCTCACGATCAAGACGAATGCTGGTAGAAATCAATCCCTGTCAATCGAGCAAGAAAGTATTTTAGTGCACGTTTGTCGGCCATGCACTCCTCTTAAGAAGTCTTACCGTGTCTTTGTCAATAGTAAAGACATTTTGTGATGACACGATACTGTAGGTCAGCTTTGACCCTGGGCGTTGTTTGGCGATGGTTAAACGAAGGACATGAGTACCTGGTGGCTTATTCTCCGGCACATCAACAACGTAAGATGAACTATATGGAAACAAAGGACACCATTTACTATATTGGTATCTCATTTTAAAGATGTAGAATAAATTGAAGAAAAAGGCACACAACTTGCAACTTGATTTTCTACTCTTTAATGTATATATATGACACATTAATCAATAACTGCCGCCGAACATTAGCTAGTTACCTGTTAAAAACTGGACTGTCATCACCCAGATCGACCACATTAATCACAACAGTAACATTGGACGAGCGAGGAACAGTGCCAAGGTCACGTGCTTGGACGATAAATATATAGGAACCATTTGTACTAATAATTCCCGACTGCTGTAACTCTAGTCGGTTGAAGACTTTAGCAACCCTTTAAGGAAAACAAAACATCAATGCATTATATGTTGGGATTTACATGTAAAAAACATATTAAAGCGATACTCACGTGATCAGCCCAGTGAACTTGTCGATAGCAAACAACTTGTCGTTATTTTGTACAATAGAGTATGTAATGTGACCATTATCTCCGATATCACGATCCTCAGCTTTGACAGAAAGTATTATTGTACCAACGGATGTCTTCTCCATTACGTCTGTATGGTATTGCGACGTAGGAAACTGGGGATAGTTGTCATTTTCATCTTTGACAACTATATGAACAGGAACACTAGTTTCCAGTCCCTTGCCATCCCTTGCTGTCACAGTAAAAGAAAACGTTTGTGTTGTTTCTCTGTCCAGGTTTATTTTACTTCTAAGAGAACCAGTCTGTGGATTGATGCCAAATCCCACATGCTTCATGGAATATATAATTAAAGCATTGGTCCCAGCATCTGAGTCGCTTGCTGTAATATTCACAATGATACTGCCTACTGGAGTGTTTTCGGGAATTTCCACATTAAATGTTGACTTAGAGAATCGTGGTTTGTTGTCATTGACATCTTGTATTGTTATTATAACATGACCATATCCTTCATTAGGATAATAGCTACCGTCAATAGCAGAGATGTTCAATGAATACTGTGCATTCGATTCTCTATCTAATAGAGCACTCACGCGAATCTCTCCTGACACACGGTCAATGTCAAATTTTCCTTCAGATCCTGATACGATTGAGTAAAAGATACGTCCATTCAGACCAGTATCGGGGTCTGTTGCTGTTACTTTGGTGACAATGTGACCAATGGGAGAGTTTTCGCTCGTAGTCACAGTCTTTTTAGCAGGTATAAACTTGGGCGTGTTATCATTGATGTCCAAAACATTAACCGTCACTTGTGCGAATGACGCGTGTCCTTTACCTTGTTTGTCGACAGCCACCACATGAAATGTGTACTTGGAAACCTTTTCATAATCAAGGCGAGGAGGCGGAGAACGCCTTGTTTTTAATGCACCTGTAAGGGGATCGACTTCGAATTGAATGCTATCTGTACCGTTAAGATGAAAACGGATTTCTGCATTTATACCAACATCGGCATCTGTTGTCTTTACTGGATTTGACTGAAATAGAGATCGATACAACTCAGACTAACCATCACTGTTGGCAAAGGAATAATGACAAGAATATTACTGCATTTACCATCTTCAGTAGCGTCCCAGGACCAGCGTTCTCATCAATTGATGCAGTGTATGAATTACTGGAGAAATGAGGAGCGTTGTCATTAAGATCCTGAACTGTTATAAGTACGGTTGCCTGAGCCTACGAAATCAATAAGCGAACAGAACTTCAGTAAAAGACATGGATGATATTATTAGATAACGATTTACCTTTCTGTTTATTGGCACTCCTCCGTCAGTTGCAGTTATGGTCAGGTTGTAACGGGCTTGGTGCTCCCGGTCAATTTTTGCTGCGACTATCAATTTTCCTTGTTTGGGCTGTAAATAATATTTATCCTCAGTAAAGCGTCTTTGAACGTAGATCAACATACTTTCTAAACTACATATATGTTACCTGAGTTTCAATTCTAAACACGTTCATTGGATCACCCCTTGTGATGGAGTATGTAATATAAGCATTCTGTCCACTGTCTGCATCGGTTGCATACACATCTAGCAAGTGTGTCCCCACTGGACTATTCTCGGTTACGGAAACTGAATAATTTTGAGGCTTGAATACAGGCGTATTATCATTGAGGTCACCAACAATTATCTCTACTCGTGTCTACAAAAAAAAAGACTTTATATAAGTCAAACCTTTTAAAAAGCGAATTTCGTTTGAGAAAGGTTTAATTACCTTTGCTGAAAATGACGGCCGGCCATGATCAGCAGCACCGATTGTCAGGTTGTAAGAGAAAGTTTGTTGTCTCTCCAGGTTTCTTGCTGTTTTTATCATTCCTGTGTCTGGATCGAGCTTAAAGTCACCTTTATCAATAGAAAAGAGTTTCGTTAATAGTTTCACAAAATTACAATTCTACAATGACTAGGTGACTAACCTCCACTATTGCCAGAAATGAGCTCATATGTTAATTTGCTGTTTACACCTGTGTCTTCATCAGTTGCTATGGCAGCAATAACGTCTTGGTTAGATTTAGCGCCCTCGGAGATCATTGTCTTGTAACCATTAACTGGAAAGACTGGTGGATTGTCATTGATGTCACGTATTTTCACCGTTACCTTGGTTACATGGAAAATATAGTTGGAATATATCAATATCGTATTACATAATCAAGAAATTTAACTTTATTGACATCGTTAATCACTGTTTCTTACAGTTGTTGCTGTCGACTGCATAGGGTTACCATGGTCATGAGCCCTGACGGTTAGATGGTAGACCCCTAATCCTTCTTTGTCAACTATTACACCCGTTGCCTCTCTGTCAAGACTTTTTGCTGTCGTTATGACTCCCTGTCGATAAACAATTATGCTAGACTAAATGCAGATCACTTTTCAAGGGTTTCATTATTTACCGTTTTGCTATCTATATGAAAAGTGTCTCCAAAGTTTCCATTTACAAACGAATATTCAATGTCCTGATTGGCTCCTTCGTCGAGGTCTGTGGCATTGATGTCAGCTATTTGTATTCCAACAGTTCCAGGCCCCTCGACGAAAGTAACAGTATATGTCATCGGTTGGAATACTGGTGCATTGTCATTTTTATCAATAACTMGAACATAAACATCTTTCAAGCTCTGTCAACGAAATGTTCCATAATCAGTAACCTATATGTGTAAACAAATAGGCCTTTTGCATGAAACAGTCACATGATGCTAAATCCACCGTGCTGGATGGCAAAATATCCACTGGGATGTTAAAAACAATGAAAACTCAAGTTTGACGGCTGGCCTGCGTTTCTTTTGTTTTTTAGGTTGTTTACATATTTTTGCCATCCAATATGGCGCATTTAGTATTATGTGACCGGTTTCATGACAAAGACCTATTTAGAAGAAAGGTTATACGTACACGAAGACCGTCAGGATCGGTGGCAGTGACTTGCAACTTGTAGAATTGTTTTAATTCTCGGTTAAGAGGAATAGAGCTTGTTCTAATCTCACCCGTCTTTGCTCCAATCACAAACCGTCCATCGTCACCTGAAATGATGCAACATCAATAGACATACTGATTGATCACATGACTACCAGTTAGTTACCTGACATCGAGTAGGTAACTATGGCACTTGAGCCAAGATCGTTGTCTCGAGCTATTACTTGAATCACAAGAAGACCACTAGGAGTATTCTGTACAAAAGATATAGCGCATKACCGATATGTTTGCCTCTCATTACATATAGCGGGGAATTATTGGCAAAAGCGATGTTCCTCGAGTATATTTTTCTCTACATTCCACCACTTATATCTTGTATTTATATTTTAACAACATGACGTGATAGCGATGGGGTATTATCAGTGCAAAGAGGCGGATCTCAGCCGAATGTGTTTGTTTTTCGAACATCCCGTTTGGGCGGGGCACAGCATAATTGCCATAATTAATTCATCTACTCTAACCCGTTACCTCAGCGACGTCTGCGGTGTAATTAACAGATGAATTGAATTCGGGACGACGATCATTAACATCACTCAGTCTGATTTCGACTCTGGCATATCCAGCATGTACTCCATCTGACACTGAAACCTGAATACAAAATACAGTTTAAAACCAACATAGGGTAGCTGGAGATCTGTTGCGAGACTTACGTTCAGAGTGTACAGATTTATAGTCTCTCTGTCCAGCTGTTTTGCCACTTGAATAAGACCTGAGTATTTGTCATTATCTTTTTCGGTTTTCATCATAAAATGATTTCCTAAATTGCCTTCAACAATGGAGTATTTTAGCTGAAAGACAAGAGAATACTAGCTGTTGAATTATCAATTCACGTCAATCAGGAATGTCTGCCTTGCTATCCCAGCCATTACCTGTGTTTTCTCAGGTGTGTCCTCGTCATCAGCCACTATTTTAAGTATTGTATTTCCTACTGGGGTGTTTTCAGGAATCTCCTTTTGATAATCTTTGAATTTAAACACTGGAGGACGGTCATTAACATCTTTCAATGTTATGGTTACCTAGGAAACAATATTAGTATCATTACAGGATGCTTTGCATTATTGTCAGGCAAAGGACTTACTGTTGCCTGACCGTATCTTGGTGGTGAACCACTATCTTTTGCAGTGACTAATAAAGTATATGTGGCCTTAGCTTCTCTGTCCAAAGATTTTTGGACTTTAATTTCTCCCTACAAAGACAAGCAGCAACCGTTAGAATTGACACAGGTACATAAATTTCTGATGCGTAAATACCGTTTTAAGGTCGATTGTAAAATGTTTTTTTACATCTCCAGCTGATATGTTATAGCCAATGACTGAGGCTAGTCCCGAGTCTTTCTCGGTTGCTGATACTTTAATGACGAAATCTCCCACTTTAGCAGCTTCTGATACTTCAGCATTGTAATTGGCTTTGTCAAACTGTGGGTTATTGTCGTTGGCATCGACGACTGTGATGTTCAGTTGAAGTTTTGTGCTATTTAGTTGTGGGACTCCATTGTCCATGGCAACCACAAAGAATGCGTATCTTTAAAAAATAAAATGATTGATAAATTCCAAGGGATTTTTACAAACGAAATGGGCTAGCTCAATAGTAATTTCAGCATAAGTGCGGAATTACGAGAATGCAGATCTATGCAATAAGAAGGCTCTTTACCAACGAACAGTACAGTTACGCGTAGCAGCCACCAACCGACCCATGCTTGATAAAAACTGCTTCGATCAAAATTGGTCCTTTTTCACTTAGGATGGAAATTTAAAGCGGAGGAAATAACTGGACGTGGAGGGCAGTCGATATTGACTGAATGTTTAGCGTTTATAACCCAGTTTTTGTTTTACCTTTGTATCTTTTCATAGTCCAAAGAACTCTTGGTTTTTATTACACCTGAGGTAGCATCGATTTCAAATGCTCTCTCAGGAGAGTATCCAGCATACTTCACCTGACTGTTAACACCAACATCACGATCAGTGGTTCGTACAGTAAAGACTGGGGTCCCAGGTAGGGCTGATTCACTAACTAAGATCTTGGAGACTACGTTAACGAATGTTGGCGGATTGTCATTGGCGTCTGTTACTGTTATGTCTACCTCGACTGTTGCAGCTTTGGGGTCGGCTGACAATAAAAACATGCTGTAGATAAACATCAAAACCAACTTAAAAATCAAAACAAAAAGACACACCAACTTGAATACCTGCTCTGTCTGTTGCTGTCACTTGGATTTCATAAGTGCCCTTAGTTTCTCTATCCAGTGGTTTTGCTACTGCAATATTCCCGGATTGTGGTTGCACTGAAAAGAGACCTCCTGGATCTCCACCTTAGGAATAAAATGGTGAGGTAAAAAAATGAAAGATATGGCAAAAGTTAATCCACAACTACTAACAGCAAAGTTCAGTAGTTACCTGTAATCAAATAGGTGATCATTCCTGCCAAGCCCTCGTCATTATCAGTAGCTCGTACAGTAGTTATCACAGTTCCAGGTTTAGAATCTTCTCGTACTATCCCAACATAGTCGAACTTATCAAATTTAGGTGTGTTATCATTGACATCCGATATAGTGATGTTGACGTAAGCTAAGGCCTTATTTGGTTTTGGGTAACCATGGTCACGGGCCATAACAACCAGTGATAATCCTTTTGGGTGTGCCTCACGATCAAGTCGTGACACCACACTGATAACACCTGAAATAGTTTAGAAATAGTTACAGATTATTAGGTTCAAAGATGGTGTTTAATGCTGTTATCATGTAAAAGGGATGATTTTTTTTACCTGAAGTTGAATTAACTACAAATATCCCGCTAGCTCCCTCAACGGAATACACAATGTCACCGTTGCTGCCTTCATCAGGGTCACTAGCGGATACTTGCAACACTCGAGATCCTATCGTCACATTTTCAGAGATAGCCGCCCTGTACAGAGACTTTGTAAAACTGGGAACGTTGTCGTTTTCATCGATGATTTTTACTCTAACACTGGCAGAGGAAGACTGAAAAGTGACAAAGATGAATAAGAGCAGGTAGATTATAGTGTTTATAGAAGGTAATCACCTTGGGTGGGGATCCTTTGTCCGTGGCTGTTATTATAAGATCATAATGAGACTGTGCTTCGCGATCAAGTACTTGAGTTGTTACAAGAGTGTTGTTGCTATCAACTGCAAATTTTACGTTGTTTACTGTGAATGTAAGTTCACCGTTTTTGTCTTGATCTTTGTCAGCAACAGTGAGCTGAAATATCAACAAACACCAAATGTAGTTAAAGACGCTTTGCTGTCAAAAGGGACAAATTTTCTCGATTTTTTATATTTCTATTTTCCTTCTTCATAACCTTTGCAATGCAGTAGTCTTTTCGTGGCTCATGATCATTGCTCTTTTCCCCTCCAAATAATTACCTTAAGTACAGTTTGTCCTCTGGGTCTGTTTTCATGTACTGAAGCAGTACTTGTGGGAAGAGTTATAATGGGTTTGTTGTCATTGATATCATCAACATTGATTGTCACTTGTACGGTTGATTGAAGAACAGGTTTGCCATCTAACACAAAGAGAATTATCTCATGAAATTTAAATGCATTTTATTAGTTGCCAGTGGATGAAGTACTTACCATCGCGAGCCTGAACACCAAGAAGATACTGCTGCACTTGCTCTCTATCAATATCCTTATTTGGGCCGATTTGTCCACTCGTTCCATCAATACTGAAGGAGTCAGCGGTATTTCCACTAACGATACTGTATGTTATCCTACTGTTGCTACTGATGTCTTGATCACTAGCATGAACCTAGTGAGCGGACAATTGGTCAGCTTCAGATGATATTTTTTTTTCGTCAGTAGTTGATTGTTTTAATACTAACCTGGATAATCGGCTTGCCTATTGCTGAGTGTTCAACCATGTTTGTAACATAACTTTCTTTATCAAAAATAGGAGAATTATCGTTCGTGTCCAGGACTTCAACAAATACCACGGTTGTATTTCGCCTAGGGTGAAATGGGTCCATGTCTGTTGCAGCAACATCCAGGGTGTAGTTAGATTTAGTTTCTCTGTCCAATAAACCAATGGCGTTTATTTCGCCCGTCGACGGATTGATCCCGAAAGCATCTTTGATTATAACAAGGCCACACGTTAGGTCTTTTATTCAATTTGCTTGCACTCTATATACTGACAGCTAAATTACGGTCCAGTAGTATTGTGAATAAAACGGTTACTTACCAACGTATTGTGGATTTGTGGGCATAGGCTTACCAGTCACGTGACCTGTCAAAGGGTAACCCCATTAGGCACTTCTTAAAAGGTTCGATAAATCAAATAATAATACTCACGTGATATACGATAAGAGTGGAGGACTTCTTCAGCTGTAAGTTCTTCCTTCCATATCATTAAATCACTGACGCTTAAGTTGCCATAGTAATCAAGTTTGTCAATATTGTTGGGTCTCCCAACCGTCAAAACTGTGAAGGCATCACTAGCACGTGATACACTGGCACCATACTTAGAGGACTGGATGAGGTGACCATTCTCATAGTATTTCAGTCCGGAAGATTGACTCCAAGTGAATGTGACGTAGTACCAAGTCTAGGAAAAGAAGACAAATATCATGAAAATCAATAATTAGAATAATATTGCGGTTCAGCTTACCTTGGGGATAGAATTTAATGTTATTTGCCATTTCTCTTTTAATGTCGCTAAAAGAAGTGTAAATTTTCCAGTTCCTATGATGTGATAGAAAGCAAAACCAGAACCAAACTCTGACTGGCCACCTGACGAGATGATGTAACGACCACCATGGAACAATAACCAGAAAGCTGTAGTCAGACCACTTGGACAAAGAGATGGGTTACTGACACATTGCACTACAATGATAAAAAGTAGAGTAAACTATACCGACTCCTTGAGACTAAGCGAAAACTACATTTTATCTTACTGTCAAAGTCACCAGCTCGTATCCAAGCTTCACGGCCATTAAGGTATACCACCTGACCGAATCTTGGCTGAGAAATTACTCTGGCTTGACCAACAAGACGACCTTTTACTCCACTGTCAATATCCACAATGTTACTGTCATTCAAAAGCCAATGGTAATCTCTGTAGTAACCTAGCGAGAAAGGATTGGGAGATCACTGTTATAGTTATCAATTGCCACAATTAAATGTCCCATGTCTAATTCATTGCATTTATTTCTTACTTGATTGGTTTACAAAACTGAACATGATTCTGCCGTATGGAGAACTTTCTCCGTCTGCATCAGTTGCTTTTACTGTCCCAACTTTCATTACGCTATTGATGTAAGAACTCTGAAATCGGAAGTAAAACTCGAGAGTTGGACATCACAGCAAAATGACAACAAAGACAGTGGTACTTACCTCTTTAACCGTAAATATGTATCGACTCTTGGTGAAGACAGGACTGTTGTCGTTTACGTTTTCAAGATTCACAATGACAGTAGCATTTCTTAACACCAACAAGATAACAATTTTAATCAGAGAAGGGCAATGTAATTGACTCGCCAGCCTTAACATACCCTGACAAACTTGGATTCCCGGAATCTCTTGCAGTTATGACCATAAGATACTTCCTTGTATTTGAATCGTAATCAAAGCCACCAGATACTGACAAAACTCCAGTATTGCTATCAATGGTGAACTTCGAAGACGCCTGTTGATCACCATAAAACAATATCATCAGTATTTGTTATGAAAAAGGTGGAATATTGTGCAAAATTTTGATTACCTCGCTATTATCAAACACAAGTGTGTAAGATATTCGTGCATTACTTCCTAGGTCCCCATCAGTGCACTTGGGCCTTAGGATTACTGTCCCGGATGTAGTATTTTCAAGGACTGACAATGAGTATATTTCTAAGAAAATCAATTGAAATATTTAGTTGTGATTCAAGGAACTAGTGTTTATAATTGATGGCTGTAAGATGACCTACCAAACGAAAACTTGGGGGGACTGTCATTCACATCTGACACGGTAATAGACACCTGAGAAAAGAAAAAAAATTACTCCAAGAAAGCAAACTACTTTTTATTATCAAAAATATACCTTTGTGGATGATTTAAGGGAAACATTACCCCTGTCAGCTGCTTGAATCTAAACAATAGTAGTGATGAATATCATACAAGATGGCTGGTAGTGAGGAATCATCCTGATCACAGTGGCTTACCGTCAGAGTAAATGAGTCTTCATTTCTTGGTGGGTCTCGATCAAGGACGCTCCTTACATACAGTGTTCCACTGTTCATATCAAGAAAAAACCTCTCGAGAGAGTTACCATTTATAATACTATACTGCAAGGCACGATTCTTGTCGTCATCTGAATCAGTGGCGGTCACTTGTAAGATATCTTTACCGACTCCTGTACTTTCTGGTATGGTCACGGTGTAAAGAGATTTTGAGAACACTGGATTGTTATCGTTCACATCCTGGTAAAGGAAGGAACAGATATCATGAGTACTATTACAAAGTATACATGTACACACATGTAATTGCAAACCTTAACGGTGACTTTTACAATAGTAGCATCCCTGAGGGGAATTCCTTTTGCACTATTACCACGAAGATCTTTAACAACAACAAGCATTGTATATGACGACCGGTGTTCGCGATCTAATGGTGAGAGTGTTGATATCGCACCAGTACTCAGGTCAATACCAAAATTGTTGTCAACATTTCCACTTTCGATATAGTAGGCTAGAGCTGAATTAATTCCCAGGTCTGCATCTGTTGCCTGAAAACCATTGAACAATCAGGTAATCATATCCATAATTTGTCACTATGGCAATGGTTATGTTACGTTACTCACCGTGACCGTTACTATCACTTTAGGCGTTGTTTTCTCCACAACTGTGGCAGTGTACAGTTTTTTACTAAATATGGGCTTATGGTCATTAATATCTGTGACGTTAACAGTCACGCGTACTTCAGATGACAGTTTTGACTTCCCAGAGTCCTGTGCAAGAACTCTTAAGGTGTGAAGACTTGCGGTTTCACGATCCAGTTTCACTGCTGTCCTTATGACTCCTCTGGTGCTATCAATACTGAACCTAAATAAATGGACAAGTATAAAACCTTGATCCCTGATATACATAAAATAGCACAATACTTCGTATTGTATGTGTAATATATGTATACATACTTTGTATAATCATCAACTGCCTTCAGTGAATAAGTAATGTCTGCATTAGAACCCTCGTCTTTATCGGTAGCCTAACACAACAGAGTCACAGTAAGGTAATGATATGGTGAGTGATGCTGACAAATCACTTCATACCTTTACTGTACCAACTTCTAATCCTACAGCACCCTCGTCCACATGGAAGTCGTATCCACTTGGCATTGAGAAGACTGGTGAGTTGTCATTGACGTCAAGTACATTGATTACCAAAGATGACGTCACTGACTAGAATACAAAGCATTATGGATGTCATTCATAGATTGTTTCACAGGTGGCCTGAGCCTGGACACAAACCTTGCCACCGCCGTCAGTTGCTTTAATCCCCAATGTATATTGCTGCACAATTTCACGATCCGTTACCTTGGCTACGGTGAGCACGCCGCTTCAAAGAATAGAGGTATTTATATCAGCTGACATGAGTTAAATGGACTTAGACGATATATTAAGACCATTAATATCTGGTAAGATACTAACCTACTGGAATGAATAGTGAAAATGCCATCACCATTTCCAGATACTATTGTATAGCTTAAAGCAGCGTTGACGCCTGAATCTCTATCGGAAGCCTGTAAAACATTGGAAGTAATGAAAAAGTGATTTCAACCTAAGTTATACGCAACCATTTCCTTTCCTTACTTTGACTGTGTATACTTCAGTATTAGCAGCTGCTCCTTCTGAAACCGTCGCTGATGTGTTTGGTAGATTGTTGAACACAGGAATGTTGTCATTCTCGTCACCAATAGAAACAATCACAGAACACTCACCAATCCTGAAACGTTGGGTAAATTGGATTAACTTAAAACTTATGCCATTGAGGTTGTTCTCGATATCAGCAGAGATGAAGAGAATGCTTACCGTCCTTGGCCAGTTATCGGTTGGTCTGTAACTCTAACTGACAAGGTGTACGTTCCCAGTTCTTCACGGTCAAATGTCGTCATAGCTCTAATGATACCGCTAAGAGGATCAATGCTAAAAAGCTTGTAGTGTTTGCTGGAATCTGGCACAAGACTAAATTTTACTTCAGCATTGGAACCCAAGTCTGAATCTGTTACCTCGATCTACAATGATTGAAGAAATTAATTTCTTTTCATTTCAGTGCAATTTTTCAGTCCTGATAGACGAACTCCAGTGTTGGATCACCAACAGCCATCTGGTGTCCATCGAACTGTTTTCGAGACTCACCCCTCAAAACCAAACGACCCCGGG